ATGCCCTTTATTAACATCTATTTGACTGTGTGAAAAGACAAGGAAAACATATTCTTTGGAAACTTCCCACGGGTCACATAACACTCTAAGGTAGGCTAGTCAGATAGAAGCTAAACTGTCTCCAGGAAGATCTCGCAAACTTCCAATCAAGACACAAGCCCATCCATGTCCTTATCAGTGTCCAGGAAGATGCCATCTTCTTTATCTTTTCTGCAGGGGATCCAACCCACGCTTTCCTCTTAGCAGTTGGCACAATGCTGGAGGCCAGGACATGGGCACAGGGGCTTTCTCCAATGTGCCCTTCACCAAACACATGGCACCTGCAAACACATCTCTGTGAGCTTTGCCCCATGGTCAATACCACTCAGCTCCCAAACGCTTCCACAGGCAGCCACAGGCAGCTTTGAGGTGAGCGATGCTGGTTTCCCTTTATCACAGACAAAAACCCATGTACAAGGCTTAAAACAATACAAAACAATACAAAATGGCACCATGTCTGCCCTTGTCTTCAGATTTTACAGCCCATAGGTGCCTGTTTCAGAGGTCCCGTTGTCCAGCAAGAGGCTATGGGTGTGGTGAAGTGTTGGTGGAAGAACGTTCAGGTTCCTGAGAGACACCTGCAATGCATTCTGGGTACATTTACAAGGCACAGAGCAATGAACAATTCCCTTTTGCCTTCTGGGGTCAGCTAAAGCCCAACCCTTCCCCAGTGTCAAATCCGGGAGCCTGATATGTTCAGGGAAGCAGCAGCATCAACAGCCAACACCCTCAGGGATAGTCCATCCCATTCTATCTGTAGCATTTATCACAAGAAGGTGTTCCACTTGATGACTGTGTCAAGGAGACCTGGGCCTGCACAGACATAGTGCCCCCATCTGCAGCGGAGGGGAAAGAAGGATAAGCAGGCAGGGGCTGGAGCAGAAAGAAAGGGGAGGGAGCAGGGGACACAAGCCCTTTCTGCCTCTCACGCTCTGGGATTTCACTTTCATGTCCATTCCTATTGGACATTCCCCTCCCACACGCCAACTTCTCCTCAGAGAGTCCCTCCAAGGGCTGTCTGATGTTTCAGACACAAAGAGGTGGAGAGTGGGATCTGCCCTGCCCTGTGGCATCCTTCTCCCTAAGTTAGCATGTGACTGTGATATGCCCCGCAGGGCCCACCCCAGTGGTGAGCCTCATGCTCACACATGGACAGATGCCCATGAACACTAGATGGGATTAAATCCGTTTCACACACACAGAAGGGCCGTGGCTCAGTGCTGACCATGGACTGGGTCCGTGGGTAGAGAGACCACAGTGTCCATATCCAAAGTATGTGGAGGGGGCAACCCTGTCCCAACTTTCACCTTGAGTCCAGATTCCCTCCCTGTGTGTGGCCACCCTGGGACCCTCTCTTGTCCACACAGAGGCTGGTAACTCCACGCTGGTGACTTCTGGCTGTACTCAGGCACAGTAGCCTCTCAAGGGCGGCCCCCATTGTCTGTTCTGCTTCCCTCTCCTTCTGGGGAACTTCCACTTCCCTTTTTGGGCATTGAGGATGGCCATGTGCTTCAGAAACAGTGAGCATGGCCTTTCTCAGCATCAGGAGCAGATGCGGATGTGTATGTGGGTTTAGCAATCATCCAATTCCTGGGAAGTTCTGAACAACCCCACTCAGGGCTCACCTCACACGCATAGTCAGGTGTGGAAACAAACCAAGATGGCTCCCGCCAGGTCCCTGCCACACCCCTCCCCCCATAACCAGTCTATGGAATTGAGTTCTTGAAGAAGTGATGCATGAGAGGAAACGAAGACTCAAGAGATTATACATAGATGGGGAAGGTCACACACCTAATGGAGAATGGAGGACTATGTACGTAAGAATCAGCCCAGCCGGCATGACTCAGTGGTTGAGTGTATACCTATGTATGAACCTGGAGGTTGAGGTTCCATTCTCAGCAGGGCACATGTGCTCATTTCGGGCCAGATCCCCCCATATGGGGTGTGTAGAAGGCAGACAGTCAGTGATTCTCTCTTATTATGGATATTTCGATCTGTCTCTCTCCCTCTCCCTTCCTCTCTAAAATCCATAAAAATATTGTTTTAAATAAAATTAAATAAATAAATGAGAATCAGTTTTGTTCCCCAAATCAGAGCAATAACACACCTATTGTCACTGACTTGAAGACAGGGACCCTGGATGAGGAGAGATCTTCCTGTGGAACAAGGCACTGAGGGTAGGAGGGACTCAGAGGCGTATTCCAGGCCCCTGGGGTGGATGCTGTTGCAAGAAAGGGGAATTAACTAGGGGCTGGGGTAGAAAGGGAACCACACTCTGGGGCCTCCCCTTATTTCCCTGCATTTCCCTCTGTGCTCACTGTCACAGGGACATTTCCCTGAGCTGCACAGGGAGAGGGTGAGCTCATCCCTGCTCATCTGAGCTCTGCAGGCCACAGGGACCCACGTCTTCCTGAAGTGTCTCCAGGGCCCGGGTGACATTGTCCATGGTCAGGACCTCAGGGAGGTGATGGATGGGCTGAGGAGGAAGAAGACTCTGTGCGGGAGGCTCTGACAGGGTCTCTTTACCTGGAAACAAGTCTCAGGAGGCTTCTGGTCTATTTCCTGATCCATCTTGAAAATGAGAGCTAAACATCGGGAGACATGGTTCCCCTTCCTGTGGGTCTGCTGAGATGACAACCCTGAGACAGGAAGGGCCAGCCTCCCAGTGGCCACACCTGTGTGGGTCCATTTTGATGGCACTTTGGTCTCTTCCATCTGCACAGCCAGAAACCAAGGAGGAGACACCATGACCCCCATACCCATAGGGCCAAGCTCTGCCCTGGTGTGGTGTGAGGACTTAATTTCCAAGATGACCTCTGGAATCAATTGAAAATCTGAATCATCATTGAAGTAATAAAAACTTCATCTGAAAAGTGAAATCATCGCACACAATTAACTCCAGGCTGACCGAGTATGCAGCGAGGTATTCTGAACAATCCCGGGACATTGGACAATGGTGTCATAGACACTGGGTCAGAGCAAGGGCATTCAGATTGGCAAGACAAGCGTCAGTAAAAACCCACACAGCAAGCTTTTAAAACTGGAAGAAGAGCCTGTCACGATGGCTCGGAGGCTGAGTGTCGACCTTTGAACCAAGAGGTCACGATTCAACTCCCAGTCCAAGCACTTGCCCAAGTGGGGGACTCAATCCCCAGTGTGGGGAGTGCAGGAGGCAGCTGATCAGTCATTCTCTCTCATTATTGCTGTTTCTTTCTCAATCTTCTCATTTCCTCTCTGAAATATATAAAGTTGTGTTTTGGGTTGTTGTTGTTTGTTTTTTTTTTTCAAACTTGTTGGGGAAAAAGGAAGAAGAAAAGTATGAGTGGTGCTCCCGCTGCTATATGTGGGGCCCGCTGGGAACAGGACGGCTATGCGCACAGATATGTGTGGGAGCTGTGGTTCAGACCAGCCCAGCTGGGTGTAGGTGGGATCAGGGGCCAGAGGGAGCTCACAGCTGGCCTTAAAGATGAAGGTGTGGGTGTGGGAGTTGAATCCGAACTCTGGGTAAGAGATGAGCTCCAGGTACAAAGCAAAAAGCAGCACAATGACTCCTGGCGGCAAACTTCACAAACCCACAGTCACCTGGGGAGAGGGAACTGGTGCTCATGGGGACAGTGGTTCCTGACAAATTTCAGAGCAACGGTCCTGCTAAGACCATTGGGTCGTGAATCTGTGTAGTGCTCTGACCCTCCAGGAATTAAACTGATTGTAAAGCAAGTAAATGGCAGTGGCCTTTCTCTTATAAAAAAAAAAAAAAAAAAAAACATAAAAAAAAACAAACACCAGATTGAGACATTACTGCTCAGTTCACACAGGAAGCAGGTGGGACACAAGTATTTAAATAAAGGAAGTTTGATCAACAAATCAAAGTTATAGCCCAAATGACAGCTTCTTCATGTATAAGACAGGCCATGGCCCAAGGGGGACAGCTCTGCCTGAGGAATGAGGGGCCCTCATGGGGAAGTGACGCTGAGGCGTGTTCCAAGAAAGGAGGGGCTACAGGCTGTGGCTGAGAAAAAGGGAAGTTCATGAAGAAACATGCGAAAGATAAAAATAAAAATAAAAAATGAATAAATAAATAAACAGTTTCCAGGGCAACTGAAGGGACCTGTTTTCTTCCCTTATTGCCCTGCATTTCCCTCTGTGCTCACTGTCACAGGGACATCGCCCTGAGCTGCACACGGACAGGGTGAGCGTGTCCCTGCTGGTCTGAGCTCTGCATGCCACAGGGACCCACGTCTTCCTGAACTATCTCCAGGGCCCGGGTGGCACTGTCCATGGTGAGGACCCCAGGGAGGTGCTGATGGTGAAGCTGAGGATGAAGGAGGCTCTGTAGAGGAGGCTCTGACAGGGAAGGACATGCCTGGGTCACCTCGCCTGCAAGGGGCAGCTAAGAAGGCTCCGAGTCTATTTTCTGCTTCACTAAGAAATGAGAGCCATGCTGAGAGAGAGGCTATGCCCTCACCTATAGGCTGCTGACATAACAACCTCGTGATGGGCAAGGCCTGCCTCTCAGTGACCACTTACCCGTGTATCTGTCTGTCTAACCTGTGGGCCTGGTGGCCTCCTTCATCTGCTCAACTGAGGACTCTGGGAGAAGACTCCATGACCCTTGCCCTCAGGGCCCTGCTCTGCCTCGGTGAGATAAGAGAAGGAGGGGAGCCTTGGTCTGTCAGGCTGCAGGACTCAGGAGGCTCATGGGAAGGAGGGAGCTGCTAAGGGTTCAGGGCAAATCTCTCACAGGGACTCTCTTCCAGGGCTGTGTGTGGGCCTCAGGACCCCAGTGCAGGCAGGTGAGTCTCCCCAGGTGTCCCAGGTCCTGCTCCTCCCTTGGGACAAGGACTGCCCTCAGGGAAGTAGGGGAAGGGATACAGATCTTTCTGATAGATGGGGTGCATCTGGGACCGATTGTTGGGACCAGGGGTAGGAATGTCCTGTGACCCACCTCTGATTCTTTCCAGAGCCCCTCCCCAAGCCGACCCTCTGGGCTGAGCCAGGCCCTGTGATCCCCCGGGGGAGCCCCGTGACCATCTGGTGTCAGGGGGCCCCAGGGGCTGAGGAGTACCGTTTTGAGAAAGAGGGAAGCCAACCATCATGGAATCGTCATAAGCCACAGCACTCTGGGGACAAGGCCAATTTCTCCATCACACAAATGACAGACAATGATGCAGGGATATATCACTGTTACTATCTCAGCCTTAATAACTCGTCAGAGCACAGTGACCCATTGGAGCTGGTGGTGACAGGTGAGAGGACACTCAGGGGACCCAGCCTCAGGCTCTGCCCTCAGAAAGGGGGTCTGCTCTCAGGGACTCTCCCTCTCACAGCCCAGCCCTGGGGGACATGAGGGAGGTGTGAGCCCATTTAACATGCTGCCTCCTCCTCTCCTAGGATCCTACAGCAAACCCAGTCTCTCAGCCCTGCCCAGCCTGTTCGTGCCCTCAGGAAAGAATGTGACTCTCCAATGTAGATCACAGCAGGGATTTGGCAGGTTCATTCTGACTGAAGAAGGAGATCACAGGCTCTCCTGGGCCCTGGACTCACAACATGCTGGTGGGCAGTCCATGGCCCTGTTCTCTGTGGGCCCCGTGACCCCCAGCCATAGGGGGACGTTCAGATGCTATGGCTGCGACAGGGACAGACCCCAGGTGTGCTCACACCCCAGTGATGCCCTGGAGCTGCTGGTCTCAGGTGAGTCCCATTATTGTCTCACCCATGGATTGAGGCAGCAGACACATTATTGGCATCTTGCTGTGAGGGGAGCCAGGTAAGGGGGTGGAGTGAGGGGAGCACAGGGGCTCCTGGGTTAGGGACACAGAGTGAGAGCTGGGGGCCAGGCCAGAAGAAGGGGTTTATGGGAGGAGCAGCCCCTGTCATTCATGTCTGCTCTCCGCAGGTGAATCTGGGAAGCCCTCCTTCCTTACCAAGCAGGGCCCCATCGTGGCCTCTGGACAGAGCCTGGCCCTCCAGTGTCGCTCTGATGTCGGCTATGTAAGATTCGCTCTGCACAAGGAGGGGGAACGGGACCTGTACCAGAGCCTTGTCCTGCAGCCACAGGCTGGGCTCTCTCAAGCCCACTTCCTCCTGAGCACTGTGAGCAGCTCCCAGGGGGGCCGGTACCGATGCTACGGTGGATACAACCTCTCCTCTGAGTGGTCGGCCCCCAGCGACCCCCTGGACATCCTGGTGGCAGGTGAGGAGCCTGTGGGTTCAGTCAGGGACCCAGACTCTGCACAGGCCCTGCTGGGGGCTTCAGGTGGTCAGGCCAGAATGAAAGTGTAGAGCCCCAGGGCGGGAGGAAGGCAGAGAAATGGGGCTGTTAGGGGTGAGGGGGAGACTTAGAAACAGATACAGACAGAGAGGAGGGTCCTAAGAGAGAGGCCTGGTGACTCTAAAGCCAAACAAGGTGGGCAGGCAGCCCTCACCCTCTCTCTCTCTCTCTCTCTCTCTCTCTTTCTCTCTCTCTCTCTTTCTCCCTTTCTCTCTCTAGGACACCTGTCTGACAGACCCTCCCTCTTGGTGCAGCCAGGCCCCAGGGTGGCCTCAGGAGAGAACGTGACCCTGCTGTGTCAGTCACAGAGCCAGAGGGACACATTCTTTCTGTCCAAGGAGGGGACAGCTGATACCCCCCTGCGTCGGAGATCAAAGTACCAAGATCAGCAGTTCCAGGCAGAGTTCTCCATGAGTCCTGTGATCTCAGCCCATAGGGGCACCTACAGGTGCTACAGCTCACAGAGCACCTCCCCCTTCCTGCTGTCACACCCCAGTGAGCCCCTGGAGCTCCTGGTCTCAGGTGAGGGCCCCTGACCCTGTCTGCTGAGCTGGGGGCAGCGTGAGGACTGCACAGGGAACCCATATTCCTGGTTCCAGTCCCATCCCCGCCCTGTCCAGGCTGGGTGACCTGGGGCACATGGTTAACCTCTCTGAGCCTCAGTGAGGTGGGTGTTGGGGTCAGCAATCCCTGATGCATGTCTGGTATGAGGAGAGAGGAGATGAGTGACAGACCCCAGCATGGGCTCACACACAGTAGGTGCTCATTCAATGACATCATTATCTCATTCGTGACATCATGAGGAGGAAGAAGGGCTCCCAGGACCTTTCATGTCTGATTCCTTTCCAGGAGACGTCCCCAAACCCTCCATCTTGGCTGACCCAGGCCCCAGCGTCACCAAGGGGAGCTCTGTGACCATCTGGTGTCAGGGGTCTCTGCAGGCTACTGCCTACGTTCTGTACAAAGAGGGCGCCTCTGAGCTCTTGGACGCAAGGATCCCACAGGACTCCAGCAACAAGGCCGGTTTCCTCTTTGGAGCCACGACCTCATCCCACGCAGGGCAGTACCAGTGTGCATATTACACCGCTGAGGACATACTGTCACATTGGAGTGACCCCCTGTTCCTGGTGGTGACAGGTAAGGGAGACACTGGATTCCCTCCCCACCCTGGCTCCAGGTCACAGGCAGAGGGAATGAAGTGTGGCCACATGGGTCCCCACTTCTCACAGCACACACCTGGGGCCTGAGGGTGACGGTCCCTTTAACACAGACCCTTTCTCTTCTCACAGGAGTGGGTGATGCACCCTCCCTCTCAGCCCAGCCAGGCCCTGTGGTGGCCTCAGGAGAGAACATGACCCTCTCCTGTAGCTCTAACATCACATCGGGCCTCTTCCATCTGCTGAAGGAGGGAGAGGCTGACACACCCCGAAGCATGAAATCTGAACGAAAGATCCATACTGGGAGGTGGCAGGCCATCTTCCTTCTGGGCCACATGAACACCACCCATGGGGGCACCTACAGATGCTATGGTTCTTCCAGCTACAACCCCAATGTGTGGTCACAGCCCAGTGCCCCTCTGCACATCGAGGTCACAGGTGAGTACAGACCCGGGTGCATCCCCATCTGTTCCCTGGATCCAAAGACCTGATCTGAGCTGTGTCTCCAATGAGGCCCTGGGCTCATGGGGTCAGTGACACTGGCCTTTCTGGGACAGACCCACAGGCAGGAGGCTCAGGGAGGGAGAGGGGAGATCTCTCACTGCATCCCAGTGGGTGATGTAGGGTGACCCCTGGAGCCACTGTCCACTCCTCCAAGGTGTGTACAAGGAGCCTGCCCTCAAGGCCCAGCCAGGCGCGCTGGTGCTGCCTGGACACAGCCTGACCCTCCAGTGCCACGCGGAGGCCGGCTTTGACAGATTCGCGCTGACCAAGGACGAGGGGCTCACACCTCCCCAGCGTCTGGATGGGCAGCTCAGCCCCGACTTCCCCCTGGGCCACGTGAACCGCACCCACGGGGGCCGGTACAGGTGCTACAGTGGACACCGCCTCTCCTCTGCATGGTCGGCCCCCAGCACCCCCCTGGACATCCTGGTGGCAGGTTAGGAGCCAGCTCTGCCCCTGTGCTGAGGGTCTGCTCAGGACTCTGGGCTTAGGGTCACCTGGGAGTGATGGGGTCCAGGACAGGGGCCTGGAGCAGAGGCTGAGCTGGGCAGAGGCCCAGGGGAGGGAGGGATAAAGGAAATGAGGTAATGGAGATAAAAGACATCTCCCAAGGATGACTGACAGGAGTTGGGAGGGATCACAGGCAGAGTCTCTGCAGAAGGCCAAGGTCCATCAGCCTAGGGTCAAGGACATGAGGGAGGGGTGGCTCTCTGTACATCAAAACCTTCCTCTCCCCAGGAATGTATAGGAAACCTTCTCTCTCAGCCCAGCCAGGACGCTCAGTGCCCTGGGGAGCGACCGTGACCCTGCAGTGTGGGGCTGAGAGCTGGTTGGACACCTTCCACCTGCACAAGGAGGGGTCACTCGACCCTCCCCAGCACCTTCGTCTGCAGAACACGTCTGTACCCTCTCAGGCCACCTTCACCCTCAGTCCTGTGAGCTCAGGCCACCAGGGGACCTACAGGTGCTATGGCTCCAACAGCTCCGCCCCCTACCTGCTGTCACAGCCCAGTGACCCCCTGGAGCTGATGGTCTCAGGTGAGGAACCCTGACCACATCCTTTCTGTGCTCAGTCAGCTCTAGGCCCTCTCCCTGGGAGTGTGGGTGACAGTGATAAGCAAGGAGGGGGAGGAGGTTCCACAGAGCAGGGATCTGCCCATGAGAGAAGAGAGACAGGCACTCCCGCTCCTGAACCCATTTCTGCACCTCAGCGGAGATGCAGAGAACGGAGGGTGAGTGAGATGTGAATGAATTGAGCAGGAATGTGATTCGACTGAGAAGAGAACACAGACTCTCCCCACACACACACCCCCGCCATCTCTCACCTCCTGATGTCTTCATCTCAGAATCTGGGTCCCTATAGTCCCAGCCTCCACTGGACACCCCCCTTTAGAGAGAAGCATCCTGCCTGTGGGCAGTGCTCTACACAGCCCACTGTGCTCACGTGGAGGCCTCTAGGCCCCCAGTGCCCTCTGAGGACAAGGGGAGACCCTGAGGTCTCATGGGGACCTGGGACCTCCTGCCCAGATTCTGTGCCTTCACCTCTGCCCAGGGTTTCTGTGCACACGGGTCTATTATGGCTCCTTTTAGAGAACCTCCAGGCCATACTTAAGTCTATGAGCTCACAATTTACTTACATTATATGGAGTCCAGATGGAAGTATAAGCATTCTATTTGTGTTTTCCTTGGGAATGGAATAAATTCAGGCATATGTTATGGAGAATAACTTCTTGTTTATATAAAGTCTTCTTTTCACACACATTTCCAAATGAGCTTTATGAATGAACTTCAGAAGGATGTGACAGCTATTTGTACAATTGAGTAAATGCACAGCCCACTTATTAGAGAATTGCACACCTAACTTTGTAATTTGTGAGTAAGCGGTGTGATTCCTGTAGATTTTCTAAATGGTAGTGAGTGCACATAGGAAAGCTCTTGTTTGGACACATTTATGTCATGACCTGTTAGCCTCCCAAAGACTCTCTCCCTGTGGGCTGCTTTTCAGTTGATCCTCTGATATAGGATTATAATCCCAAGCAGTCAAAGGGACTGCCACTTCTTTATTCCTGATGGCATACCTATTTTTCCCCCTCCATGCCCCATAGGATGGAAGGACTGACCAAATGAGCCACAGCTTCCCCTAAAAAAAACTCCTTATACTTATGGAATGTAGGGTCCCATATTTCATTTTGGCAAGGGCACATACTCTGGTTGCAGATTCAATCCCCAGTAGAGGGTGTGCAGGAGGCAGTCAATCAATGGTTCTCTCTTATCATGGATGTTTCTATCTCTCTCTCTCTCTTCCTTTCTGAAATCAATTTAAGATATAGTAATAAATAATTAAATGTGTAAATATAAGAATAAATAGATCAACAATTTCAGGTGAGGATGAAAATGCGGACCTCAGGGAAGAGGAGCCTGGGTGGGGTGGGTGAAGGAGATCCAGCCCAGACTTTCACCCCTTCATGCTCCTGAGATTCAGGAGCCTCTGACACCACCCCTTCTTCATGGACCTTGGGTCCCCAGCTGTTGAAAACATAGGATCTCTCAGCTGTAGGGGAATAACCTCATGGGGCTTTGAGGCACAGGCTGAACACAGAACACACAGCTCTTAGTTATGTCTCAATTTTCATCACATCCTTTCTCATCCTCAGTTTCTGGGCACAGCTCTTACAGGGTGTCTCAGAGCAGATGCTGAGTTCAGATATCACTGGGACGCTGAAGTGAAGATGAGGTGGGAACCCAGAAAAGACACTAGAATCCCGGAGATTTGGGTCTGCCCTGACCTGTTAGACTTCCTTAACTACAACTCTTGTTTTCCCTCCCCAAGACTACACAGTGGAGAATCTCATCCGGATGGGCGTGGCTGGCTTGGTCCTGATGGTGCTCGGAGTGCTGCTATTTCAGGCTCGAAAGGACACCAACATGGCCCTCAAAGGAGCCAGGATGTGAACACAGAGACAACAGAGCACCATTCATAGTCGGGGAGCCTGGGAGCCCATCTGAGGACCCCAGGAGGTGCTGATGGAGAATGAGGATCCCAGGAAGTGCTGAAAGAGAATATGGACCATAATTGGGGAAACTGTCTGATGAGAATATCCAGGGAGGTAGAGGAAGTCTGTGAGGCTTGGGTGCAGGAGAACACAGGCCATGTCCCTGTTCAGGACGCCTCTGCCATCTACCTGGGAGCTCTCCTGCCCTCCCTGACCTCGCTGACTCTCCTCCACTGCCCTTCTGTTTTCACCCTGTGACATGAGGTTCCGTCCCACATGGCTAGTTTGGATTCACATCTATACACCCCTTCATGCTGGGTCACATCCATTCCAACAACAACAAAAATAAACCTGGGATTATTTTTTTATTTCATTTTTACCTTTTTAATATTTTTCTACTGATTTTAGAGAGAGAGGAGGCGAGAGGGATAGACAATAGAAACATTGAGAAGAGAAAAACATCAGCTGCCTCCTGCACTGCCCCTTTGGAGGATGGAGCCTGCCACATCGGCATGTCCCCTGACCAGAATTTCAACCAGTGGCCTCCTGACTCAGAGGTCGATGTTCAACCACTGAGCCTCACTTGCTGGGCTGTGGGATTATTTTTAAACTAAGAAAAAAATAAGAAAAAGCCCTGATACCTGCTCCACATGGTCCAGCTCATTGCACATCTCTAGCTCTTCTACATCTCCATGTGGCTTCTTCTTTGTATCCTTACCTGGGACCTTCTGTTCACCTAGATTCCAATGCTGGTTCTTAATGCTGGTTGCTCTGTAGTTTAGTTGGGATTTTACTGTTATCATGGGGGGGATTTTAGTACTTCCTTTACTTCCTCCGCTATCTTGAGCAGAAGTCATAATATTTTGATAATAAATAAGTAATTTTGAATTGTTGGCATCATTTTATTTAAGTAATACATAAGGTTTGTTTTCAGTGGCTTTTTAAACACTTTCAAGACGTGTTTTAAATTGATTCAGATTTGTTTGGTTTATGCATTTACATCAATCAGTTTGGAGGTCACACAAGCATTCCCAATAAAAATAGTTCCCACCATTGTTAATGTGGTAAATGGGTCTGTGTGCCAATCACTAGCTGCAATAACAATCTTCCACCTGGAGCAATAAGATCACTGTGCCTCACAAAAAAAAAAAAAGAGATAGAAAAACCTGATGAATAATAATAGCTGTTCATTGTAGTAGAGTCGGCGATATGGGAGGGGATTGGACTGACTGTTCTCAGGGGGAAAGGGAGGGAGGAAGAGACTGAACATAAACTGTGCACTTATGGATGAGGACAATGGGGGGTAAAGAGGGGGCAGAGGGTGGGGTGGGAACCAGGTGGAGGGGGGAAGAAATGAGGAACCTTTGTAATAATATCAACAATAAAGAATGAAAAAAAAAAAAAGATCACTGTGCCTCAGAGTTTCTGCCAAAGGGTCACTGCTGATGCCAGCTGTAAGAACGGCTCTACAGCAGACATGGCCACAGGTCAGGAGAAGATTACTTGAGATAGTTGTCCAATGAACATAGATATGAATCTTTGAAAGGTCCACCTTTACAATAGACCAATTTCCCCAAAAGGATAGGCCTTGGAATGATCACTGCCCTCCCTCCCCCCCCCCCAAAAAAAAAAATCAAACTGGAAAAAAAAAATCCTGATCTGTAGCATCACCAGCATCTGCCAGTGACCTTGATTCTACAGTTGATGGGTGTGCAGAGCCACCATGGTCATGGGTGAAACTAAGAGGGAGCCGTAAAGGATGGAGAAAAGAGACAGGGAAATAAAGCTGGGGCTAGGTGGGATGCTGCTCACTCTGATGGAGAGATAGCACCAAGGCCTGTAAGCCATGTCTTTATTTTATGCCAAATTCCAGGAGACAAAGTAAGGTCATAGTCAAGATGTTTACAGTAGTCCCTTAGGTTTGGAATTTACTCAATTACATGCACCTGATCAAGCTTTGTTTACTTGCTGCACCTCCTACAGCCCATATCACTCAGCAATGTGGGCCCACAGGTTCAGACCATAAGGTCAAACTTTCATATATACCTTTGCTATAATTGTGCTGGGACTTGTGCCTGGCTTTGCTCTCTCATTAGTTCCAAGCTTGAACCTGTCCGAATGCTGTAGCCACTCTCCACAGATGGGTCTTCCGCATTGTTGAATTCAGGACAAGCTTTTTACTGGCAACTTCATTGCCAGTCCAATCTCATGAGCTAATGCTCCCCACACTAATGTCTGTGTCCCTCAGTTGTGTACATATGCATATAAGTCCCCAGTGAATTTCTCCTCACCAACCCAGCCACCTCCTCCTTCTCTGGGAGATTCCACAGTCTGTTCCATGCTTCCATGTCTCTTTTTTATGTTTCCGTTTATATTGTTCCTTTTAGAAACAGATTAACCTCTTTCTTCTTGAGGTCCTCTTGCACAGTATTCTTATCCGTCTTTAGGTCAATGGTGCCATTATTAAGGACATCTAGCTGCTTAATAGCAGAGAAATTTGAGAGCAGGACTGGGTCCTATGATGCTCTTTGGTAAACCGGCCCTGTCTGGTGGTAAAAGCATCTCAGGAGGGCAATGGTAAGATATGAACACATATAATAATTTAATAAAAAATTTTAAAAGCTGAAACCTGTTTAGCTCAATGGTAGAGCGTCGGTCTGCGGACTGAAAGGTCCCCGGTTTGATTCCGCTCAAGGGCATGTACATTGGTTGCGGGCACGTCCCCGGAAGGCTTTTGTAAGAGGCAGCTAGTGGATGTTTCTCTCTCATCGACGTTTCTAGCTCTCTATCTCTCTCCTTTCCTCTCTGTAAAAAGTCAATAAAATATTTATTTTTTTTTTTTAATTTTTAAATGAAAGGAGGATCAATGCCCTTTATTAACATCTGATTGACTGTGTGAAAAGCCAAGGAAAACATATCCTTTGAAAACTTCCCACAGGGTCACATAATATCCAAAGGTAGTCTAGTCAGGTAGAATCTAAACTGTCTTCAGGAAAATCTCACAAACGTCAAGTCAAGACACAAACTCTTCCCTGTCCTCCTCAGTTTCCAGAAAGATGCCATCCTCTTTAGCTTTTCTGCAGGGGATCCAACCCATGCTTTCCTCTTAGCAGGTGGCACAAGGCTGGAGGCCAGGACAAGGGCACAGGGGCTTTCTCCAATGTGCCCTTCACCGAGCACATGGCACCTGCAGACTCATCTCTGTGAGCCTCACACCAGGGCCAACACCACTCAGCTCCCAAATGCTTCCAAGGGCAGCCTCAGGCAGCTGCGAGGTGAGCGACACTGTTTTACGTCTATCACAGACAGATATCCAGGAATGGGGCTTAAAAGGCTACAAATGGCACCATGTCTGTCCTTGTCTTCGGATTTTACAGCCCATGGGTGCCTGTTGCAGAGGTCCCGCTTCCCGGCAAGGGATTAAGGGTGTGGTGAAGTATTGGTGGAAGAAGAGCCAGGTTCAAGTTCCTCAGAATACCTGCAATGCATTCTCGGTACATGCACAAGGCATAGAGCAATGAACAATTCACCTTTGCCTTCTGGGTCAGCTAAAGCCCAAACCTTCCCAGTATCAGATCTGGGAGTCTGATATGTTCAGGAAAGCAGCAGCATCACAGCCAATACCCTGAGGGATGGGCTGCACCACCCTTTCTGAAGCATTTTTCACATGAAGGGGTCCCACTTCACTGTTTCAGGGAGGCCTAGGTCTGCACAGACATAGTGCCCCCATCCTGTATGGGAGGGGAAGGAAGGACAGGCAGGCAGGCAGGAGCAGGGAGGAAGGGGAGGGAGCATGGGAGGCAAGCCTCTCCCTCCTCCCACCCAACAGGATTTCTCTTCCACATCCATTCCTATTGGACGCTCCCCTCCCATATGGCGACTTCTCCACACAGAGTCCCTCCCAGAGCTGTCCTGATGTTCAGGACGCAAAGAGGTGGACAGTGAGATCTGCCCTCTCCCATGCAGTCCTCTCTCCCTAATTTAGCATCTTAATGTGATGTGCCCAGCAGAGCCCACAGCAATGGTGAACCTGCACAGATGCCCATGCCCGGCTAGAATAGATTGAGTTCATTTCACACACAAAGGGGACATGGCTCCATGCTGACCATGGGCGAGGTCCGTGGGTAGAGACACTCCAGTGCCCATATCCGAAGCATATAGCGAGGGCAACCGTGTCCCAAATTTCATCCTGAGTCCAGATTCCCTCCCTGTGTGTGGCCACCCTGGGACCCTCTCTTGTCCACACAGAGGTGGAAACTCCACGCTGGTGACTTCTGGCTGTACTCAGGCACAGGAGCCTCTCAAGGGCGGCCCCCATTGTCTGTTCTGCTTCCCTCTCCATCTGGGGAACTTCCACTTCCCTTTTTGGGCATTGAGGTTGGCCATGTGCTTCAGAAACAGTGAGCATGGCCTTTCTCAGCATCAGGAGCAGATGGGGATGTGTATGTGGGTTTAGCAATCATCCCAGTCTTGCAGAGTTCTGAATAACACCGCTCAGGGCTCACCTCACAGACGTAGTCGGGTGTGGAAACAAACCAGGATGGCTGCCACTAGGTCCCAGGGCACCAACCCCACAACCACTCTAAGGAGTTGAATTCTTGATGACCTGCTTCATGAGAGGAAACTGAGACTCAAGGGATTGTACCTTGAGGGTGAAGGTCACACACCTGATGGACAATGGAGGACTCTTTACATAAGCGTCAGCCCAGCCGGCAGGGTGCAGTTGTTGCACATCATCTATTAACCAGGAGGTCAGGGTTCCATACCTGGTCAGTGCACGTGCCAGGTGCTGGGCCAGATCCCTCTTGTGGGGCTTGCATGAGACAGCCTATGAGTGATTTTCTCTCACCATTCACTTTTCTCTAGCCCTCTCATTTCCTCTCTGAAATCAATAAAGATATGTATATATATTTTCAAACTTGTTGGGGTGGCGGGGGGGAGAATAAAGAACAGTGTGTG